AGAGAGAGAGAGAGAGAGAGCCAGAGAGAGAGAGAGAGAGAGAGAGAGGGGTTAAAATTTCATAAAAATTTCATTAAAGAAAAAGTGCAGCAATACAATTGACCAAAAGCTGGTCAGTCACTACCGCCATCGCATCAGTAATGTTTTATCTGACTGGAAGAGATGGATATTCTCCAGCAAAAAATCAAAGTAATATTCCAGTATGAGTAGCCTGCAATATTTTTAATACCCCTACAAGCATATTCAACAGCAAAAAGTGAAAACCTAAACCTAAATCTACATATAGAAAAATCCTCAAACATATATATTCTGCAATATGTACAAAACGATAACTATCCCTAATAAATTGTATTATGTCCTGTTTGGTAGATTATAAAATACTTATTTCACCCAATCACAAGTCAAATTAACTTTGAACTTTTATATCATATAATTCTGTGAACTTTATGTGCTGTTTACCTAAAATAATCACAGATCGACAGACATTTTGTTGCAGGAGAAAAAAAACATCAGTTAACAGAAAAAAAAAGCATAGTCAAAAAAATGCCTTATCAAAAAGCACACAGTCTGTAGTTTGTAATGCTAAAAAGTTGTAGCAGTTCCAGTACTAATATTTGCAACATTGCTGAATTAGATCCCATAGGCTCTTTGCATGATGTTCACCTGTGTTGACTCAAACATTTGCATGTTATTTTTTCTTTTGTCATTTTGCTGTTGCCTACAGATTGCATCTAGCTACTCTCACCCTTTCATGTTCCATTTTTGATTACATTAAATAAAACTGGTCACAGATTCATAAATACGAATCTGCAATATTGAATGTGCTTTATAAGTGTCATTACATTTACTGGCAAACTAACCAATGCAGGAAGGAAGCGGTTTGTCCCAAACCCGCCTATCACCACTTAGACAGGTTAGGGTACTGCTGCCATGGAGGGTATACCCAGGGTTGCAGGAGTAAAGGACAAATGTGTTGGCATAATGACCGTCGTCCTGGATCTTATATCCATAACTGGGAACTCCTGGTTCCTCACAGCGAATTAGGTCGAAACCTAGAGAAGAAACACATAAAAGGGAGGTGATGATAATGTTTATGTTTTTATAGCCAAAAATAAAAATTGTTTTCATTGTAGCCAGTATACCATAAGGTCAATCTGATCTGTAACTAAAAGCCTTCAAATCTTATACAAATGTTTATTTCTAAAACACTGTCTTGAAACCAACACAGATAAATTTAAAAGTGCTACGGTGCCCATCTTTTAAAATTTTTTTTGCATTTAAAAACGGAAAGGGTTTTTTTCTTTTTGTATCAAAGATATAATTTTTTTGAGCATTATCCATATCAAACATTATTGTTACTCACCAACAACAAAAAAAGTGTGTTTAATGCTTTTATAATTTGTCAGAGAGACTGAATGGCACTGTTTTTTTTTTCTTTAGCAGCAAAGCAGAGCACACTGCATTCTTTACCACGGTGAAGTTAGTTTCAAGTTGAACATTGGATATACAAGCAGGCTGCATCTACCTTACAGTCGATCTGATTAAGGATTTCTGATTTTGGCCATCCGTTTCCTGTTGCCTCCTGTTGTCAATGGTTCACTTTAAAATCGTTGTCCCTCAATCGGATCCACCATGAGCTAGATGCCGCTGACTCAACGGAGCTTGAATACACAACTTAAAACTAAGTTCACCATGGTAGAGAATGCACTGCTAGTCAATAAATGTACATCAGCATATGTGGAGATAAATCAGTGCTGCAAAAAAAAAAAAAGAGGAGATCATCTTTTAACAGATCAGCTAGCTATCAGCTGATAAATGATGTCAGCACAGCTGTTTGAAATAACTTCGGTAACAGATCTTGTGATTCTGAAAAAAAAAAAGACCTATTTGAGATTGTAAAAGGCTAATTTAACCAGAAAGGTCATAGCAGGTGGTTGGACATTCAGCCATGTTTTGCAACATAAGGTGGCAACACAAACCACCAAAGACTAGTTATTTTTTATGACCAGATTTATAAGCAGCAACCCACACAGGCCCATCTTAACTGGACATTATAAAGGATGATTAGGATTAAAAACTAAAATATGCTGTTAATTTCACTAATTAGGATTTGAATCTCCACTGACATCCCTGGACTAAAAGAACAACTAAGAAAGGTTATATTTTGATCTTTAAACATAGAAATTTAAAGAAAAGATATAAAACAAAGCTTCTTTTTTTTTAAATCAATGCAAATGATAAACATTGATACAACCTTTCAATGCAAACTGTTTCACAACAGGCAGCATTTTATTCTGTTTAAATGAGCTTGTGATGCCCGTTTTGTCAGTCTTTTTCTCAATCCATTAAACAGATGCATTTTTTTCTTTTAATCGTTATTGTGATTTTCTTGTATATGTGTTCTGTCATTCCATATTGCTATATTGAAATAGTCTTTAATAGTGGCCATTTTGCCTCTCTTCTCTTTTGTATGTGTTAAGCTCAATCTATTACCTCACACTTATCAATGCACAAAGTCCTCTGTAAAAGCAGAGACTCTGAGAAATGTGTCACCTTCATCAGTATAATAACTTGCCAATTGAGGGCAGTTTAATAGTTTTATTGACTTACAGAGCCCCTATAATATCCATATACCATTAACCCTCATATGTTTGTCCCATTCGTTTAGCTGCTCCTCCACTCCAGATGTGTCTTTCTCACCTGCTTTAAATGGCTTGCAGATAGATGTTCCTTTAATGGCCTTTTTGACTTATACATGAACTCATCTTAAATTTTTAACAGTTTCTTTTAAAGCCTTTCAAATGGATGCATTTCTATGTGTGTTTGTAAACTAGAAGGAGAGTCTATTTAGAGCATATACGTCCCAATTTCCTTTTATAATTCTGGTTAAATGATAAAAGAAGAAAGGAAAAAAAAAGTTGGTACATTAAAATAAAATGTCATTTTCTAAAATGTTCATGTAGCCTATGACACCAGGTTTAAAAAACAAACAAAACAGCGCACTCACGGTACCACTCAACAATGTTGTTGTCAAGAGCAACTACCCAGAGACAGAGTCAAGACTAAGACAGGAAGGGCAAAGCTGAGATAAGACCAAGAGCAGTACCCTACTTCACATCACAACTAGAAAAGCAGTCAGGGAGCACAGATCTCTGTCAAGTAGCTCATTTCCCCTGTTATATTGTGACTTCTACCTTAAGTTAATACCTGTATTCAGAGAACCTTTCAAAAAATTCCTGAATCCAGATGGAGGGGTACCTTTGGTAAAAATGTAATTAAATTCATTCATAACTTTTCAAGTTATACTGTACACAGACAAAAACACACACACAAACTCTCCCAAAAATATAACCTCCTTGATGGAGGCAATAAAATGTGAAACATCCTCAAAAGTCCTCAAATTAATCTAAAAGTTATAAAAACTACAAGAAACATAGAGTTAGTACAGTTACATACAGAAATGAAATAAATGTAACTTTCTCTATTTGATACTAATTCATAGTTTTAACGTTTTAATCAAATATTTGATTGAATCATGCCTAAAAATGAACAAATGAAAATAAAGGTTTTTGTTCCATTGCTAACTTACACAAAAAAATATCAGCTGAAGATTAACAAACAAAACAGAATTATTTGTAGCAAGAAGGGCTTTAATTCCTGAGGCAGTGAGATAAGTCACCATCACATGGCCATAAAGTAAAAATATGCTTAAAAAAAAAACAAGAAAAATATTCAAAATAGCATTTGTTATTATTAATTTATTTAGAGTAAAAATACTTTCATTAATTTGATACATATATCTCAAGTTAAACTGATTTTTTAAAATAGATTTTGCCTTTTCTTAATGTAGCATGACTAATTTGTGGTACATTCTACTTTATTACTTGTTACACTTTAATTGTTTCTATGTATAGGGTTTGGCTTCCGTGACACGTTAAGATTTAAGTTCAAAAGGTTATGGTCAGAGCCTTCCTTTAGCCATTGAGGTTTATTTACAGTTTTATGTGATGGATATCAGAAGCTTCTTCCCTTCAGTCAAATCCAGCTACTGCAATGGTAGGCACGTCTGGTGGTAAAAGAGTAAAATAGGAACAGTGTCACCTTTAAATGGTACCTATTGGATTGGTCCAACGGCAATTATGACTTTATCTAGCCAAAGGCTCCCAGAGGAACTTTTTAGTTTTTAAATGCCATATCAGAGCTGAGGGAAGAAGAACTGGTATGCTGTTTCTGAAAGCAAACTGAAGGCAGCCATACCTGTGGCTCGAGACATGTTCCTCAAGCGGGAATCACGGTATCATTTTTTAAAAAAAGCCATGGAGCAGCTGTCAGACGTCTCTACCTTCACTGCATTGTGCATTTTGTAGCTACTTTATTGGAGGAGTTGTGAGGGTGAAGGGGCAGATAAGTGACAGCAGTAACAAAAATGACATTATGCTTGGATTTGAATCATTGCATTTTAAATTTAAAAAAAAAAAAAAAAACAATATCAACAAATTTGATAAATGATATTTCCACGGTTTTTGTCTTGAGTTCTTATTGTTCGAGTTTGAAACCAGTAAGAGACATTCGAAAAGTGTCCTTGAGACTGGTCTCAAGACTAAAACTGGTGTTGAGTGCTACATCACTGTCACTCACTTTCAGTTTAATGATACACAAAGCTTTCCTTGCAAGCAAGATGAATTGTTGCAAGATTAGTATAGTCTCAAACCCATGAAAATACATCTTGCCAGGAAACAGCACATGCATTAGCCATAATACGGAAATGTTTCGGGCAAATAAAATGCAGTGATGTGTACGATGTCTACGAGCCAACTAGAGGTGGAAGGCTGCTGCAAAAAAACATGGCTGCGCCAGTTTTAGGAGGAAAATCCTCTATTTCTTTTGGAAAAACAAGCAAATGATGAGAAAAAAAAATTGATTTAACTATTAACTCTGCTAGTTGTAAAACAAAGGAAGCTGCCACTGCCACTGTGAATGGCTAAAAACTAAACAAGGGAGGCAGGTACTTAACCAGCTCGCAGAATTGTACTGAATCCCACCTTTTGGGAACATGTTTTACATAAGGCTTCCCAGATCAATACATGTAGTTCACTTTAAACTCTTTAAGGTATGTATCTGGCTTATGCCATATTAACACAAAGCAGATCCTGGACCAATCCAATACGCTTAACTAAAGCCTTTCAAACTTTTGGATTTGCATCTAAAGATTTAAACCGCTAGAATAAGCTCCTTCGATTTTAGGAATTTGAAAACAAAAATGTAAAAAAAAAAAAAAAAACTGTCTATAACTAAATAATTCCTCTTAATAGCTACTAGAAACATCTTAACACTACAACAAATTATTGAAAATAAATGTGAACTCAAACAACTTACTTGTGTAAGTGAGGCGGAAGCCCTGATCGGTTCCAGAGGCATTGCTATTGAACTCCAGCCATAGGTGATTGGATGTACTGTTGATGATACGACCCATCATTCCTTCAAGTGTAAAGTTGCCAAGAAGACGGGATGAAGTGTTCTCTCCATCATAAACCTGTCAGTGTTAACAATGAAAAAGCATTTAGCCATATTAACAAGCTCCTTAATAATTGGTTTGTGTGTAAGATTGTAATGGATAGACATAGTAGTAATTTTGGACTTTGAGGACCAATGTCCATGTTTCATCTTAACATGTTCACTGGACTGGAAGGTGCAGTTAAGCTCCACAGTGCTGCTCTTCTCTGCTCTGCAACCCCTTCTCAGCCCAGCTAACCCCACAGGTGTGCCCATAACCACCCCCACCACCGAGTTTCTTTCCACGAAGCTGCCTGGGGGATCACATTGGAAATGGAGGCCATCGTGGAACCCCAGTCTCAACATCCCAATCTTCAGATTGACCAGGGCTACAGTAAGTCATGTTGGCTAAAATGTCAGAACCGAACTGCTTCAAAACAGCTTGTTCGCAACATTCCTCTTTGAGTTTCAGGAACTTCTAAGTATTTGAAGAGATGAAGAGAGGGGAGGAGGAGAGCTCCCCTGATACGTTTCTAAAACAAAGGAACCCTCCTTGCTGTGAGCCTGCCATGCTAAGCTGCTAACAGCTGGAGGAAACTCACAGTTGAGGACAGATTATAGTTAAACAATATATCTTTTGATGATTTAGATCATTTCATGTGTTTACTGATAAGTAAAGACAGAGCTAGCAGTATGGATCGCATGGTACGCTATGCGACAGTAACATGTTTTTAGCTGTTTTCTTTATAAGCTAAAACAAGCTTAATTTTACCAGAGTTTTAAACACTGATATAACGTGTTCATGTGTTTTCTCATATGGCCATTACATTTCAATTACGTTACATTTGACTAAAGATGATTGGTTCCTGATTAAGCAATTAATAAAAAAAAAAAACGTTATTTGACCAAATAATTTTATTCACCTCATGGAGTTGCATTTTGAGTTGGTTTGAAAACATTCCAATTGCTATAAATTAGTGAAAACTAATTTGATCACATCCCAAATTCGTTGAGAATTACTTTGGTTCTCAAACACAAAATCCATTCTGAACTATGGACTTTCAAATGTTTTTAACTTAATTATGTTTGACTTGGAGCTGAATGATTTTAATATACTGTTATATTTTTAACAGAAGGTGTGGTGAATTTATTCCATATATGTGCAGAATTATCTGTTTGACGGTGATTTTAGCTCGATTCACACTTTCAGTCCTTATTCTAACACACAGCCAGTAGGGCATTTGTTCATAAGCAATATATGACATTCCAAATAATATCTGATTAAATAAGATATTTACCACCCCATACCGGGGTACGCAATAACTATAATAAAGTTGCAAAACATAGGAGTGATTCATTATTTACAATTTGAATCAGGTATGACTCATACTGCCAATTTATTTGATTATTAATCTATTCATTTATCTTCTAGTGCTTGACTGTTTAGTCATGTGTTCCTGTTGAAAAGGAGGGCTACACTTTAGAGCGGTCGCCATTCCATCTAAGGGTTAGACACCGACATACAACTATACATGCACACTTACATTTAAGGACAATTTAAAATCACCAGTCAACTTAACAGTCATGTTTTTGGACTGGGAGGAAGCTGGGGTGTCCAAAAGGAACACACATATGCATAGGAAAAACATGTAAACTCCATGCAAAATGATCCTAGACCTGGCCTTAACGCAGTACCTTCATTCTGCAAGGCAGCAGCACAACAAACCTTTTCATTGTGCAGCCCATGGTTATATTTCACATCAATATCTAAATATATAACATTATAAATACATGCTATATTTATAATCTAGGCTGTGTATGTTTGGGCTATACTTATCAACTATTTCTTCATTATTTCAGAGGTAAGGTGGCTGACATGCACAAACTGACACCAAAACGCACCACAGAGTTTTATGGGACCAGTCCCTCGTATAGATATTAACATTATGCCAAAAAGAAAGATGAAGGGATGAAAAAAAAGTTTGCTTTTCTTAATCTCTTTTATGGACATTAAAAAATTGCATCACATTATTTTACTGTATTTTTCTTTCTATGTGCCTTTTTGAGTTTATATCAATAATTTGATTGCAGATCATTTTATCCTCTGTGGTGTTGTTAGATGTTTGCTGTACTCTTTTACTATCACCCACTATAGAGGTTATTTTAAGACATTGAGGAGAGAATATAGTCTTCTAGAATGACTATTTAAAAATAGAGATTGAGATACTTGAGCCCAATTATTATTCAGAATGCATGAATAACAAACAGATCATTTCAAAGCTGCACCTTTCTTTTAAAGAAAGAACATTTAATTGGTTCTAGAGTCAACCAAACATGAAAACAATCTCTTGGATTTACATCCATGATTCAGACTTCAGTTCTTTCCACAGACTTTTCTCATTATACCTTACCAATACAAGAAACTGCTGACTTAGAAAAAAAATAAGTTCAATTCAGCTCAGACACAAGACTTTGATAAAGTACACCACACAACCTTCCAGGGCTGCCAATGCCACATAGTATAGTGCAGCAGCTGGCATCTAACAGACATGTTTGTGTTTCCCCACAGGCACTGTCTACTGTTCCACTCTGTGACACTCTTCCAAGGCTTAGAAACTAATGAAAAGCAGCTTATGACAATGCTCTACATTTAATATGCCCACCTTGCCTCCATTTTTATTATTGTCCAGTCACTTTTAAAAACACAAGCGACTAAACTTGAGTATTGTACTGGAAACTCCCTCTTGCTATTCAGAATACCCTATTTCATTTAGATGAAATTCATTTCTAAAATCTTTTAATCTAACTGTGCGTAAGCCTGTTTAAACTTTTATATGAAGTTATTTTTCTATGTGAAATTAAGAAAAAACATCCCTTGACCAAATAATATACTCTGATTTTGTCAACTTATTTGCAAAGCTATTTTATTTCTATTTTTTTTTTCCTTCCTTCTGTTATTGCCTCATTTTTTTCCTGTAACCTACATCCATATGCCCAGTTTTTACATTACTGAGATGATACCATACCCCTTTACTTATAAAGCACTATAAAATAAAGGTAATCGGGGTCCTTTACATACAACTAAAACAACAGTAAAATTAAAGTAGACAAGCAAAATGCAGACAACCTAAAATAGAAAATAAGAGTTAAAAATACATAAAAACATAAATACTGTTTACCGTATTTATATTTACTGTGTGTACTGTGTACAGTATTTTATTTGTCTACTTTTTTTTAAACTCTTTTCATACACCTTTTAAGGTCTACATTCATGTGACCACTTTTGCTATAATCTTTTGCTGCTGTAACACCACTATTTTACTATTTCCCAATATAGAGATTTTCTATTCTATTATAAGTAACACTGGACATATATCGGGGGAATGATTTTGAAAAACGTATGTAAGTTGTTTATTACAAAGCTTGAAGTATTTCATTGTGCAACAGTGTTGATTGCCATCACAAAGCTGTTAAGGAAAAGGTGACTGTTTGTGCTTGAACTGCTCTGGCTTATATTAGGCATCCTGTGACATTTTCACAGATGGATGGTGACAGGTCTGCAGGTGACAGGAATGCCAAAGAAACAGGCAAAGGTGATATGGTGTTCTATCTTTACAAGTCCCGCCAGTCAGAGGAGACAGGTCTGTATGTAGATACAGCCTGTTTGAGTGTGCTGATGAGATGAAAAGTACTAATATGAAGAGGGACAGCATGAAATGGTAGGACAGTATCTGTAGCATTACTGTGCTACGTTTCATTTTCTCTTACAAGATCCTCCCCCTCAGGTTTCCTCTCACAGCTTAAGCAATTTTTATATTTTGCCATCTTGCTTTTCTCTATTGCATTTTCTCTCTTCTTCTCACTGTTTCTGTAAAACTCAGTATGGTTAATGAAAAGCCCTGCAGCTCATAAATCAACATGCCATCATCTGCCCCCCCCCCCCCCCCTCTCTTTTTCTGTCTGAATCCCCCCTTGCATGTTCTCCTGCCACCTCTATTTTGGGAACAATTTCTCTACATCCCCATTTTGTTTTTCCTCTGTACTTTATTTTTTTTTCAGCAAAGGTCCAGTTAATGTAAGTTAATGTGGTCAAGTATTGTACCGGTTGACATTCTGAGGAAACTTCAGCTTGGTAAGCCTTTTCTTTCACAGTGTCAAAGCAAAACCTTAGCCAATAGCAATAGGAATTAATGAGCTGGTTCATTTGCTTAAGGAGGTCCTTGCCTTAAGCTGGCTGGAGCTGTCAAACAAATGATCTGTGTTCAGCATTTTCGGCTGTGTTTACAGGAGTTAGCTCCAATACTTCAAGCCTGAGGATCACCAAGCTGATTGCTAGCCTGAAAGTTTACCGCTTTTTACTTTTAACAGTTGTATTTCTATTATTTTCAAATAAGATATTGTCTGTTTTGTGATTTGTCAATAGAGACTTAGCTGAAAATATAAACTGTACTAATTTCAATGCTTATCATTTAATTGCACAATGTACTTGCAGGCTAACTAATTTTTTAAAGAAATGTCAATACAATGCAAGAGTAGGAGAAGGGCATTCACAGTTTAAATGTTACAGTTTTTTAATAAGCTGTATACAGAGTTTTTAATAGAGGTCTTAAAGTTTTTATAAAACTTTTAATCTGATGTTTAATTCTTTACAAACTCAGATGTTAGGAGCTTGCCTTCGTGAAAGCACTAAAGATAAGCACCATTATACTAACCTGACAACAGCCAGATGCATGTCCAGCTCCGCCTAGCTCCACTCACGGAGCGAGACGTGCATCTGGCTGTTGTCAGGTTACCATTATACTGCAGAGAACACTAAAGGCCCACCACACATGAGCATGGATATGTGTCCGTGGACGTCTGCATGGACTCCAGCGTACACACACAGTTGAATTCAGAGGGTAATTTACACCGTTTTACTTCAGTGTTCAACAGTAAAGTACATTATGGCAGAAAGGAGTACTCATACCAAACAGCAGTAACTGCTGGCAGTAACGCACTGCTCAGTACAGCCAGTCGCTAGGACCTGCCATGTCCCAGCCA